ACTACAAATTGAGAATAACATCTTTATACACCAAAAGAAGTATGCACATAAATTAATTGAGAAGTTTGGTTTAAAAGACTGCAAACCAATTGCTATTCCACTTGCAATGAATGCGAGATTAAGCAAAATTGATGGCAGTGAAGCTGCAGATGAGGGAGAATATAGGCAGCTTGTAGGAAGTCTACTTTATTTGACAGCAACCAGGCCTGATGTAATGTTTGCAGCAAGTCTATTGGCATGATTCATGCATAATCCCACCAAGAAACATATGGGAACAACCAAAAGGGTACTGAGGTACATCCAGGGAACAATTGATTTTGGAATTATCTTTGACAGGGGTAAAGCAACTACTCTAATTGGTTACTGTGACAGTGACTGGGCTGGAAGTGAGGATGATATGAGAAGCACTTCAGGGTATGCATTTACACTAGGGTCTGGTATGTTCTCATGGGCTTCAATCAAACAAAACACTGTGGCATTGTCTACTGCAGAAGCAAAATATGTTAGTGCTGCATAAGCTACATCATAAGCAAAGTGGCTGAGATTTGTTCTAGAAGACTTTGGAGAAGAACAAGTGGAGGGAACTCAGATCATGTGTGATAATACATCAGCCATTGTTATGGCAAAGAATTCAATCTTTCGTCAAAAGACAAGACACATCAACATGAAGTTTCACTTCATCCGAGAAGCAATTCAAGCCAAAGAAATTGAGTTTGTGTACTACAGGACAGAGGAGCAGATTGCAGATATTCTTACTAAGGCCTTACCTAAAGATCGATTTGTGTATCTAAGGGAGCTACTTGGAGTTAAATCAGCTAAAGGGTTAAAAGGGAGTGTTGGTGTGTAACCCTTCAACTGAAGCTTGGCGGCAAAGATCAAGTTTCATGTTTTATTTCAGTTTGAATGTGAGCCATTGGATCATAGTCCACATGTCAAATTAATCATGTATCTAGCCTAAGTAATAGAATAAGACAAGTGGCATCATCTCATAGGATGATAGCAATTAATGGTTAAGATTGTGTTGTATGTTGGTGAGTGAAGGATCTCCCTTCCTTTCCTCATATAACGGTTAAAATGTATTTGTGTGTTGAGCATGAAAATTGAAGAGACATTGTTTGCATCATCTTCTCTCTAACACTCTCTCCACCATTGAAGAGAACCTCCATTGAAATACATATAAAAAACACATAAACTCTAAAGGAGGGAGTTTTCCCATGAAGTGCACCAAGTTGGAGCAAAAAATGCAGAAGCATCTTTGCAGGCGAGTTGGTTGCTTTTGTCTATGTATTCTTGGAAGTGATCGATGCGCTTTTGAGCTAGCTGCTTTAATTTGTCTTTGTTTTGGTCTAAAGTCAAGGCTTGGAGAAGCTCCGAGAGGTCTTTCTCTTGGATTTCCATCCACTCTTTAAAGCAACTTTTGGATTTCTCCTTATCTCCACTTGCCATTTGAGTTCGAGTTGAGAATATTAGACTGTTTTTTTCTGCTTCTCTTTCAAGTTTTATATTACAATGTGTGATAATTGCTTCAAAATAAGGTAACAAATTTTTGAAGCGGTGTGGAAATGTTTGTTTATGCGGAAGACACGTAGTAGGTGATGACAACTGTCTTCTTTTTCGTGTCAAATTTGCCCTGGTTCTGCTTTCTTTGCTGGAACTGTTGGAAGCAACTGCATGGACTTCAATTTTCATGATTTTTCTTTGTTGGATTGTTTGAAGCAATTGCATGGACTTAAATTTTCATGATTTTTCTACTAAGTCAAGAGTCAAGGTTCTTCAATTCGGCCACATAGTTTGAATGTGTACTGGTCTGGCGTTCTACCTAACCAGAAACGAAGGTCTTAAATATTTCTGATATAATCAAAGATATTTCTCAATATATTAGGAAAACTAGTGTTGCTGATAATTGAATTGAGTGAAGTAACATCTATACTGCACTTTAAAAAAAAGAAAAAGAAATAGGAGACTCTTAAAGTGTGGTTCTCGATGGACTTTATAGACTTGTAGTCATCTTATGTTTTTGTATAATATTTTATAATATTAACACGAAAATTAACATTAAACTGTGAGGTGATAGAGAGTCTCACTTTTTAAAATGTTTCCTTAGCATTTTACAATGGAGATATTTCTGAAATATTGATAACTTGGTAAAATTTCGATGCTTAAGCGCAATATCTGACACATTTTGAGGATTTCAAGATGGGTAATGCCAAAGAGACTAATTTTGTAACATCCCACATCATCCAGGGGAGTGATCCTTAAATGTATATTTCCATCCCTACCTAGTACGATGCCTTTTGGGAGCTCACTGGCTTCGGATTCCGTCGGAACTCTGAAGTTAAGCGAGAAGGTGGCCAGAGCACTCCCATGATGGGTGACCCACTAGGAAGTTGCTCGTGAGTTCCCAGAAACAAAACCATGATGGCATGGTCGGGGCCCAAAGCGAAAAATATCGTGCTACGGTGGTGGAGCGGGCCCGGGATGTGGTGGAACCTGGGCCGGGATGTGACAAATGGTATCGAGCCAATCCCTGGCCGGAAGTGTGCCGACGAGGACATCGGGCCCCTAAGGGGGGTGGATTGTAACATCCCACATCGCTCAGGGGAGTGATCTTTAAATGTATATTCTCATCCCTACCTAGCACGAGACCTTTTGGGAGCTCACTGGCTTCGGGTTCCATCGGAACTCCGAAGTTAAGCAAGAATGTGGCCAGAGCACTCCCATGATGGGTAACCCACTGGGAAGTTGCTCATGAGTTCCCAGAAACAAAACTGTGAGGGCGTGGTCGGGGCCCAAAGCGGACAATATCGTGTTATGATGGTGGAGCGGGCCCGAGATGTGGTGGAACCCGCGTCGGGATGTGACAAATTTTTAATTAAATTTTGTAACCATATGATGTTGTTGCTGATGATTAAATTATTAAGTGTTGATTAATGTATCTTGAAAGTCATATACTGTAGTTATTGATGATTAAATTATTATATAATTATTGATTAACGTGTTTATTTCATATTATTGACACATCATATGATTTAGAATTTGGCCTAAAAATTTGCATACCGAGAATTACTCCCTTATAAACTATATGAAACCTCGATATCTTGAGATATATTTTATGCTATGAGAAAAAATAGAGGCATGATAGTTGGAACAATTGTTTTTGCTGTCTTTTAACTTTAAATTATACTTATTATCAAATAGGCAGTGGACACACACCTTTTACCTTTTACATACCCTAATTAACTTTTGTCCATTCATCTTCTTTCAATTTATTCAATCTGACAACCGAAAATTAAGAGAAGTGTGTAAAAGATAAAAATTGGTGTGTGAATAGCACCATCCATCAAATATTGACTAGAAGTTCTAGGGAATGGTAGGAACCTCATAATCAAAATCAGATTGAACTTCACTGAAATATCTTAAAAGAGTAATGCTAGGGTGACCAAATTTTTAGATCAAATTTGCAAACTATAAAATGTATCACTAATAAAAAAATAAATATGTTTATTAACACCTAAACAATTATCCAATTATCAACAACCTTATCATACGGTTAAAATGGCAAAGTGGCAATTTGGCACAAAAGTAATCTTAGGTGGCAACCTATCATTAAAAAAGCTAAGGTGACAAAGTGAAAAAATGGTTGTGACACAATTTTAACGGAAACTTAAATGGTATTGACAAGAAGTAGTATTGCGGCACAAAAAATTAGTTCTTGTAGTAAATTGTGACACAAGAAAAAAAAATTAGAACTGATAGTCAAGTATCAAAACAGTATAGTTTAGCATATGATATTTTACTGCATTAGCAGAAAGTAATTATTTTTATGTATTATGGTGCACGTTCAATCTTGTTTAATTTTTTTCTAACTCGCTGAGTTATCGTTAAAAAAAAAAATATATATATATATATATATATAATAGTGTTCATGTGAATATTGCTGAAATATTTTGGTAATAGTGCTTCTCAATTTTGTTTTCCCAAGACTCAATTTATGAAAATATACACAAATGAAACTCACCAAGATGTCAATAAGGAAAGTACGAAATATAATTTATATACGAGTTCTAATCAATTTAGCAAACTCTCAATTCTAGATGCAGTTAAAAATGTTTAACCAGTTTATTGCATGGATTACCAATTTGTTGCGTGTATTTATTTATTTTGTAATTTCTTTAAAATCTGTGTATGATACAGAAAAAATAATGAAAAATCTTTGTTTAATGTAAGAGACAACATTCATATAAACATCCATATCCCAAACTACTCCAAAGAAAATATAAGAGACGATTGAAATGGGAGCCGTCCGTAGTAAACCCCTAACCCTACAAAGTGTACAATAACTATGAAAACCATGACAAAAGGGGTCAAACCAGGGCGGGCATAATGTCGGACCTGTCTTTTGAACCAAAGCTTTGGTCACGCTCCACGTTTTAGCCCAGATTCACTCCCGCGCTGCCACGTTTTCTCAACTCAAACTCCCTCACCAGCTGGTGGCTCTGCATGGCTCTTCGCCACCCCAAAAACCGAGAGATTTTTAATATGCTTGAAACACGAAATATTAAAGAAATATTTTTCAAAAATACTCTTTATTAATATAGCATTCTGTGTTTCAAATACATTAAAAAATACCTCATACAAATATTTCATCCCATTCAACCCAAACAAAAAAATTGAAAGGGCAAACACTCATTGCCCCTCTCCCTCTCTCTCTCTCTCTCTCTTTCTTAACAGTTGCAAGGCGTCATATAAACCCACCAGTGCCTGATTGCTGCTTGTAAGCCATGCACCCGCCACGCACTTCCCAATCTCTCCACCACCCTCTCACCGTGGCCCCTCCTCCTCTCTCCATCTGGTCACCCAACCATCCCAATTCCGCCTATATATAAGACCACTGAAACACAGTGAAGCAACAGCAAGAACAAGCTCTCATAATCTCTCTGTGGCATTTCCACAAACAACTCTTGTGCAATCTTCTGTATCCATCTGGTCTGTGTGAATTCATGAGATCCCAGGTGGAGCAGAGGTTCTCTGAGTTTTTCGAGAGGTGGGTTTTTCAGCTCGAGCAGCTCCAGCAGCAACTTCTCAAGTTGTCGGAGGAGACGCGGCAGAACGAGGCGGAGCTTCGGGCTTTGGTGTCGAAAGCCACCAACCTTCACAAGGAGTATTACACCGTGAAGTGGGCTGCTGCTCGGGATGACGTCCTGGCCTTCTTCTGCCCTGTTTGGTCAAGCCCTTTGGAGAATGCGTATTCCTGGGTCACGGGGTGGAAGCCATCAATGCTGTTCCAGCTCGTCGAGTCGCTGAAGAAGACGAGGCTGGTTTCCATGTCGGAGGAGCAGGTGAGGAAGGTTGAGCAGCTGAGGCAGAAGATGAGGTACGAGGAGGATAAGGTGGAGAGGGAAATGGAGAGGCAGCAGGTGGCGATGGCGGACAGGAGGATGGTGGAATTGGCCCGGCTGGCGACCCGGGCGAGGAACGGGGAAGCGGCGGCGGAGCTAGAGGGGCTGGTGAATGTGGCGATGAAGGTGATGCTGAGTGGGTTGGAGGGGGTGATGAAGGCGGCGGATTGTGTGAGGCTCAAGACATTGAAGGGGTTGTTGGATTTGCTGAGTCCATTGCAGAGTGTGGAGTTGTTGGCTGCTACTTGCATGTTGCAGATTAAGTTGAGGGAATGGGGAGGAAGAAATGTGACCAAAATCAAATGCTCTCCTTAACCAAAACACCTAAACCTAATTAGCTAGTTTTCCTTATGAATTAGAAAAGTTTGGGTCCTGATTTTATTTTTTAGTAGATCAATAGGTTTACGGTGAGAGGAATCGATAGAAATCAAACCTGCATTAAGCTGTATAGCATTATTGCATTTGCATTAAGCTATATAGTCATTAAGCTGTATAGCATGATTGCATTTCGCCATAAATATGTGATCTACATTGACTTTTGACCCAATTTAAATCATTTTTCAATGTCAAAATTAAATTTTGGAAAACGTCACAAATTCGAATTTTTTCAATATCTCATTAGAGGTCTCAAACTCGAATTCCAACCCTCGCGGCAGAGTTCCCAAACTCCGTGTTTGTAGTAGGGGGCACGGTCTGGATTAGACTGGTTTTATACTAGAGAATTTTAACGAAAAGTTTTCGGTATTGTTTACTATAATGAAAAATCATATTTTTACATTAAAAAGTCAATTTTGATACTATTCACTGTACCCTTTATTTTATCCTTATCGTTAAAAGTTAAAACTCAAAATTTTCAAGCCATTTTCATTAGTTTTCCTTTTATAGTAAAATGATTGAGAAAACCCGGCCAAACCAAACCAGTTTTGGATTGTTTGGTTAGGTGTTTTCTTCCTTTTCAAAACCAAACCAAAATCCACCGGTTTGATCGGTTTTTTTTTTTTTTTTTTTTGGACAAGTGGGATCCAAAAGGATCACTAGGAAACTTTATTAAACACACAACACAAATTTACAAACTACATGCCCACATACAAAAAACACAAACCAAAAAGCATCAAAACAGGAAGACAGAGAAACACGGGCCAAAAGATCCACAAATCAGGACTTATCCGTTCGAGTTTGAAATTACTCCCTCTTCCTCCAGCCGCATTTGAAGGTTTACAAATCAAGATCCATGAGTCCAGATTTGAAACAACTTCCTTCTCTAAATTAGTGTAATAATTTCGAACTTTTATCCTCCTTTATTAATAATAAAATAAAATAAATTTCACAAATCCGCAATTGAAGGTTCACAAACTTATAATTTATGGACTTTATCCCCACACTTCGATCACAAGAATATATATAAAATACAATATTAATATCTTTGTATATAAAATGAAGAAGTTAGGGCAACCCAGTAAAAGAATAACACTTTTTTTGTTATATAAACACCAAAGAATAAGAATTAAATGAATCATAGGGACACATGAACAACCAAGAAAACCAAAAGGGCAAAATGGGGATTTTATCTTAATACAATGGCTATGGCTATGCAGGGGAAGGAGCAGCAGAGTTAAAAGCTATTTTTCTTCTTCTTCACCATTTTTTTTATACAAAGGGAGAGACTTTAAGACTTTTGGCTTACAACACAAGAAACAGATAAGAGAGTCAGAAGGAGAGAGCTTTCCGGCTTACGTCGCCTCGACCGATAAGATCTCGAGTTCCGCCCACCAGAGGGGAGAGAGTCTGGGGACTGCTTGGTTGGGAGTGATGGGGATCACTTCCCTCAGTTTGTTAGTCACATCCTTCATTGTTGGTCTCTGCCTTGGATCTTCTTGGATGCAATCTTTGATGACCTCGCACAGGACATCCAGCTCTTCGTTTTTGAACGACTTGAGGGTTGGATCCACCATGTCGCTTCGATTCTCGTTCAGATATGCAGAGGCCTGGCAAGTTGACAACAATGCCGAATTAGCATTAGGATTTGGATTCATGAAACCTAATCAGATTGGTTAGGCACTTACCCAGTATAGAAGGGACCCATGTTCTTCTGAGTTTTGGAGCTTCCCGGTGATGATTTCAAGCAGCATTACTCCGAAACTGTAGACGTTTGTTTCTGGATCAGCAAGGGGTGGCAATACCGAATGCTCCTTATCATCATCACCGGAATTCTTAGGCTTTCGTATTGATTCTGCCCAGAAACAGATCTCCGCAATCTGTGTGCGAGAGAAAGAGAGTTATATAAGTAAAGGTCATAAAATTCATATTGAACAAAAGCAATCAGAGGGTGAGAAGGGAAGGGGGTACCTTAGCAGCGTAATCATCCGTCAAAAAGATAGAAGCCGAGGTCAGGTTAGGATGTGACACAGGTGGATTTAGCTCATGGTGCATGTACTGAAGACAATAAGCAGTTCCCATAACGATCCTAATCCTCGAATTCCAATCCAGATGTTCCATTTCTTCAACTGGAAAACAGAGAAGATTAATAAGTGTTAAACCCTCAACATCTCATGCAGCTAGTGATCGAACAAAGAAGCTTACTATGCAGATGCTCAAAGAGATTTCCATTTGGAGCATACTCAAACACCATCATCCTAGTAAAAGGCTCATCCTCCTCACAGTAGCCAATAAGATTGACAAAGTTCTTATGATTCACGCGTGACAGTACGTCAATCTACAGCAGGTGCAAAATGACATAAATTGATTAAAGTCATACCACTGCATCAGATGCTGTATTTTGTAACAGAAATAACATACCTTTTTCCGGTAACAATTCTCTGCAAGCTTGGACCAGTCTTTCAAAGACGATATTGTAGTTGATGCAACAGCAATCTCAACTCCACTGGACAGTGTTCCCTTGTACACAATACAACCTTCAAGTGTGCTAATAATGTTACTGAAATCTTCACATGCGGTTTCCAGTTCTGATCGGTTCAACTTGGGAACTCCTTCAACTCATAAAACGTAATTCAATTTTCATTTTTACATATCGACCATCTTAATACATGAAGCTTTCAATATCTATATCGAAATTAGAAGGCATGTCAAATATTCACACAACAAAATCACCTGATATAAATGCTTTCTGCAACTGTCCACTCAATCCAGTCTTCCAGGGACCTACAGTTTTAGCCACTTGGCTTCGACACATGAAGACCATGGCCATAAGAACAAGGAGCAAGATAAGCACACTGAAACCAATAATGAGATACTTCCACATATTGCCAATTAATTTTTGGGAAGATTGTCCATCATGTTTTGAAGCCTCATGAGGTTCAGGCGAAGGCTGCGGTGCAGGTGCAGGCGGAGGAGAATTTTTCTTTTTATCTTTTGGCACGGCTGGGAAAGCACCACTACTTCGGGTAGTTGGAAGAGCAATGACCTGTCCAGTTGGTTCCGTATCAGTAACGGGTACAGCTGGTAGGTTACTGGCTTGTGCAAGTAGTCTACGGCGAGCAAAGGCCATGTGCGACTCAAACCAACCTGCTTAATGCAAGACACAACATCAATGTATTTTTCAGGATAATGTATTGCAATACTACATGTGTAAACGCCTTCTTACTTACTAGATAAACTATCACAGCAATTATCTCCATCAATTGGCAGAGGATCCTTTCTGTAACTGAACCTTGAAATAAAAGCAAACATTTTTCAACAAATTGAACATGATGGAAACAAACCAAACATAACTTGGATGCCATACAACGAAAGTTGGTTCCCTACCGAGGCAGTGACAAGTAGTTGAGATAGTTCTTAAAAGCTCCTTTAAGAAATAATACCAAGGATTCCACAGTATTCACATGTTCTAAATTGCTCTGCCAGATGCTGCCCAAGAAATGCAAGAAAATTACGAACATGATAGATATGAGAATACGAAATGCTTCTATACCAACAAATTAATACTTCAATACAAACATAACAATTACATTATCTATCACATAAATTTGAGAAGGCAATGCTAGTTCATTCCAAAAGTAATTGGAGCATAAAAAATGGTACTGTGAGACTAAAATCAGATCAATTCTGTTAGCTGATAAATCGAGGTGCGAGCATATGTACTTCCTATCAACCCATGTTACAAAGTCTAGCATGTGGTAGGTCAGATAGCTCGAATTAAAAACAACTGAAAGCCTGAAAAACGTAAGATTCTCTTTTTATTAACTATCTGTCTGAAACAAGATTTACACTACGCATTCCTGGGTACACTAAATGATGCTACAGTTAAAACGACATTACGACTAGATATTTGCATCGTAGGCATCAACTGTAAATTATGAAAATGAAAATAAAATTAAAAGGAAAGAAAGAAGTCATCAACAATGAAATAAATTTCTTCTTGTGAACTAAGTCATCCTACTGTGTATTTGTGAGACTCATGGGAGTGATTTGTATGTGTAAGCAGTATTATACCAATGGCCAAACTTTCTGTTCACACAGCCAAATCCAGTGGTTTCACTAGATGAAAGGTAATCATCAAATTGCAATTCGCAGAGCGAGCAGACGAGTGAGCTCTAGAGGAATGGTGCCTTCGAATCTATTGTCACAAAGCAACCTGCGGTTCAAAATGAGTTAGTCCAGGGACTCGAAAGTTATAGAATGAAAAAGAGATCAAACATGCAACAGCTAACTCACAAGCATTTCAGTGACAGCATACTGCCTAACTCAACTGGAATCATCCCATTCAAGTTATTGTTCCTCAAATCCAGTAGCTCCAACCTTGTGAGCCCCCCAATCTCTTTAGGAATTACACCAGATAAGCGATTCTTGTATAACACACTGTTATTCAGAGGAAGCAAAAAACTCCATAAGGTCACAAAAGAACTAAATTTCCACAAGACCCTGGTTTTATTGTCTATCGTTTGTTCAAATCCATATAATAAGAATTCCCATTTAAGCTCTTATATGCTTAGAGATTCAATCAAGGTCCACAATGTCAATGAAGACCTACCATCACAAAACTAATTAGGCCAAGCCAAAGAAAGCTTGATAAGTCCCTAAGAAGGGTACAGTATCATGCATTCTTAACATGCTAAATTGATTTATGATTAATAAATTTGAGATTTTGTGATAGTTTTGTACAGTCTCCGGTCAGATTGGGGGTTGAAAAATGAATTTGCACGGAGATGAAGATGAGCTATGAAAACGTGCATATCTTTTTCAATGGAGATGCATAAACCCTGATTATGCTTAATTCTATATGTAATTGCATTCTACGGTACCAAGTTTTAAATGTTTAAGAAACGACATTTGGGTGCCCCAAACAGTTCGTTAAATACCAAAATCTCAACATCCAAAAAACTAAACTTTAACCACAAAGACTCGGTGACGATGAGAGTCCTTACAGAGATCGTAAGTGATTAAGTTTCCAAAGTTCAGGTACCAATGTCCCTTCCAGAGAAAAATCCGTCAGATTCCTACAATAAATCAATTAAAAGGCATCAAAACATCAAACCAGTTAACTGCAGTAATTGATAAACAATAGATTGGTACCTTCAACAATGAGACTTATCCCCGAAAACAAAAAGCAATCTCTAGTAATTATCTAACTGGGGAATTTAGAAGAAATTCAGAAGGGACTTACAGCATATGCACTTTACCGTCCACACAATGAACACCATTCCACAGGCAAGGATCGCCATCGTTAGGACTCCAATTCTCCAAAGCACCAAAAGGATCGAACTTGATATTTTCACGGAATGACAACAGAATCAATCCTGCATTTCCACACCAATTGCAAAAAAAATGCATTCCAATTTTCAAAATTACAAATGCCATTCATTCCATAACATCAAAAACTAAGGGAAAACAAGAATGTACCTTCATCATTGAGACACCAACAGCCCCGAAAACTCACAACAAGAATCAAAACCAGGAGAGATAGCAACCGGAACCCGAGAGGGTTCCATCCATCCCCCATTGCCTGATGAACGAAAAGCTGCAGCAGCAGTGGTGGTGGTAGTAACTATATCTGCCGACAGCCACGAAGCTAAGCAAATTACCATACAAAATCGCCAGGTTTTTTGATACGAGCAACCCCTTCCACCATGCTCAAAACCCCAAAAATCCAAATGTAAATCCTTCTTTTTTCCCCCCGCTCACAGCAAACAAAACACACAAAAATAAAACCAAAATTCTAACTATATGCAACCAAAAAAAACTAGGCTACAAAAAACGCACACCCACCACCGTATCAGGGTCCCTCATGATAATTTGACTATTTAATTGGAGGTTACAACACCCTTTTGATCAATGCACTCAAAACCCCAGCTGCTTCTGCAGATTACAACCTTCTTCTCATAGGGCTGAGCTGAAAAATTCAACAAAATCCAAAGAAATTAACATGAATTAATAAATAATCCCCTGAAATCTATAAATTGCAGGGGAATGCCGTTGTGGGCAAGCAATGCATCACAAAAGCAAAACCCAGAAAGAATAAAGCAGAAAAAGAGAGAAAGTGAGAGACTTTACCAAAAAGAAGAGGGGCAAAAGGGGTATTGGAGAGTTGGGTTTTCTTGTTACTTCCTTGGAAAGCCAGAAGTAAAGGAAGGTGGATAGGTGGGGGGAGATTTGAGACTCAAAACTTGAAAAGGCAGCACAGAAAAAAACACACCAGAAGTTAATTAATTATTTAATTATTTTAACTTTTTTACTGAACAGAAAAGGCTTGAAAGAATTGAAAGTTTTTTTCCTATTACTGCCCATTTCAGGATGATCTCAGAGGACCCTCCCTTGGACAATCTTTTGGGTCTCTCTTCTCAGAACCAGAGGAGCTTTCTTCTCCCTTCCCAATTTTCTCTTTTTCTCTCTCTCTCTTTCTTTCCCGGTTTTTCTCTTTCTCTCTCTAGACTCTCTCTCTAACCCCCACCACCAGCCAGCCACCCCCTTCAAAGCTGTTTTTCTGTTTTTCCTTCCTTTCTTTTTTTTTTTTTTTTTTTTTACTTCAAAGCTTAGGTGGGGTATGACGGTGGGTCCCAGTGAATGTTTTTTTCCATTTTTTGCAAAAATATTATTTTTTATTTGTACATTTATTATACAATCTCTTAATAAAGATAAGGCCAATCAAAATATAAGAGTCTCGTCTATAATTTTTTACAAATAATAATCCACTTACAATATAAGGTAACATTTTTATTTTGGTTAACCGAACATTACCATTTTTTTTCCATGTTTTCTTTTTGTCTCCGTTTTTTGGATGGTGTTTGTGAAAAAGAGTGTTAATTAAGAGGGTGGGCCCTACATTAGGATTACAGTTGGTGGTTAATCATGTTTTGTTCGGTTAAGTGTTTGGCGGGAAATCGAAACTGTGGTGAACCGGCGGCAAGCGAGACACAGAACCGGGAGGCGGAAGCCGAGAGGGGTATTTTGGGTATTTCAGGGGATTGATTGGTGGTGAGGGCCCCCACTTCCGGTGTACTCGGACGCGGTTCTCTCTTTTCTTTTAAGCGGTTGAACGGGCCCACTTTTATAGCGTGCTTGCCTCTCTGCCTTTGTTCTTATTTAGTATTCGAGAAAATTAGATTACAAAATCCTTTAATCACATATTATGTTTTCCACTGGCCAATCAATTTTGGCCACGTAGTCAGTTAGCATGTAGGGTGATAAGTAATGGACTACCACCACCATTTCCCTTCTCAATATCTGTTTTTCATGGTGTACTATTTAAGAATCCACCAAACAAATTCAATCGATTTAAGAAGATATCACATATTTGGGATTTGGATCCCATTGTATCTAAATTGTGGGGATTCTAGAGATCCTCACATCTGAGACATTCATCGTACATCATGTGGTCAACTATCATTTGACTTTTTTTATTTAAAACTAAACATAAATAATATCTGACAAAAATTGATCGCACGATGTATGATGAACGATTAAGATATAGGGATCCCTAGGATCACTACAAAGTGGATCTGGAGAGGATTCTCTTCCACATATTTGTCCTATGATGCTTTGTTGAACTTAAAAACTATTTAGCCTGAGTGGTGTGCAGACTAAGTAACTAGTGAATTAATTACGTCTTTCTAGTGAATGCGAGTGCTAATTCGCCACTGAGCTCAGTCGGTGAGTAAGATGGATTTGGTGTGGGTGTCGAACACTTCTGACTTCTGTATTTGAGCAATCACGGGTGAGGAAGGAACATGTCTCAGCCTCTAAGTTCTAAAGCCTGAAGACAAGACTTCTAGTCACTGTGAAGTTCAAATAAGGTTCGGCGTTCAATGTGTCGAACACTGAGTAAATTGGTAACACCTTTCTTTGCCTAGAAAGTTAATGAGATGATCTCTTTCAATAAGAAGACTGAAGATTTCTCACTAGTAGAGACTTGGATAGATAACCAGCCGAGTTTAAAGCAATCTTGTTACTCCAAACTGAAGGTACTCCTCGGTGACCTGATTCTACAGCTCTAGTGCTGTTAATCCAAACTGAAGATTTCGTCGATTGCCAACACAATACTGTTAATCCAAACTAAAGATGTGTTGACAAAGTTAGGAAAGTTAGTGGTTTCTCAGAGTATGAAAGGTTCCCGTAAAGCGAGATTGCGCAAGGCGTTTGTGTGTGTTAAGTTGAAGGTCATTTCTTTGTTGTAGAATCACTTTTATTTATAGGGGTGAATTCCATGCGGATCACTCACGCCGAAGTAGAGTCCTATTTGACTTACGTTTCCTTGGTATCTTTCTAGATATTCTCAACATTATCTCATCACTAGCCAAAACTAATCTACACACAGTTTAGCCCACTCCACTAGAACTAGGATTTTGAACCCAATTCTTCTTCAACATTTGATTCAATCCTAATTTGATTAGCGACAAGCCTTGATTCTTGGAATATAACAAATTTTATCAAAACTCATCCTAATCCTTGATAATTTTACATTCATTTGAACTCGGCTGAATGATTCTTAGACTCGACCCCTTAAGAGTCATTCTCCTCTTAGAACTCAACCGTCATACTATGGGCTGGACTTGATTTGATTTAAAGGATTAAGATTTGGGCCAAGAATCCCTAACTCGTATCAAACTTATAATTTCATTCGGCTCAGACCTAATATTTTAAGCCTAAACACATTTATACCATTTTTGAATTTTGATAGATTGAACAATTGGGAGCGAATTACATTTCCTAATATTAGATATAAGTAAACACATGTATAATTCAAAGTTGTTACGAATGAGTTACTTATTGTGCATTGTATTTTTTTTTAACAAACGATATTATCTACACTAAAGGGGTGTTGGAGTGGGCTAAGTCTTACAATAGGCTAGGAATAAAATGGTTCAAATTCGCTTTTGGTGAGAATCGAACCTCTCACTTACCAAGGAAGAGAAATACCACTAAACTGCAGTACCATTGTGTGTTGTTTTTTCAATACAAGTGATAACAACGAAAAGATGATCCAATTAGGACCTTGAGTGCATTGGTCAATGAATGTTGCACTTAAGTGTGCATTTTGAAACCCTAAACCATGGCTAATTTACCAATGGATTCAGTACTTATGAATTAACAACAAAATAATACCAAACAAAACATTTTACATTTTACATGGATAGTGCAGTGTTTTCTTCCTTTTAAATCCCTCATTCTCCTAACGACCTTACAAAATTGTTAAATTGGTGCTAAAGTGGGTACTCACAATAACCTTAAGAGGAAACTTCCATATAATAAGAGGGAGAAATATTTTAATCGAAAAAAAAAACAGAAATAAATCTTTTTTTTTTTTTTCAAACAGAAATAAATCTTTTATTAAAGTCATCTCATAATCATTTATGTCCTCTCAATCCAAACATACTATTGCATATTGCGTTTTACCGTAGCGGTAGAAATTAATTATGCTTATGTATTCTAGTGTAGGTTCGATCTTCACTGACTCTCTTTTCTTTAACAATTAGTAATTTAACTCACTAACGTTATCAGTTGTTATAAAAAAAAAAAAAATCCAAACGTACTATTAGTTTAAGATGATGCTCGACATATTAATTCATAGTAAGGTTGGATTTTTTGAACTAGGTAGGGTTAGGTAGTTTCTGATCTTTGCATCTACGTTATAATCATTGTTACTAATAAGAGTACAGTTCAAATTTAGGTCATCGTGAGTCATAATTTGTTCGTTTGTTGGCCACCCAAACATGAGAATTAACCTCAATCCACAACAACACAATCCTCCATTAAGCTGACGTTGTCTATCCTTTTATTTGGTGAATCTTTTTACAGCCTTGAGATTACAATCATAAATTTGGCGGTGGAAAAAAGAATGTTGTAGGCCTAGTGATAGAGAATGTTTATCGTCATTCTTAAAATTCGAATTTTCCTCTCTAAATTAGGACGGTGTGAGATAAGAGAATTTTTAATGTGTTTGAGACACGAGCATATACATCATATATCATTATAATTGTTAATAACACATAGGATGTCATATCATCATGTGTTAATTAAACTAAAAGTAATGCTAAGTACACCAATTTTTTTGGACTAAATTTACTAACTATATGATGTGTCACTAGTAAAAAATAAGCAGATTATATGATTTACAAAATTTAATTTAAAATTTTGGTGTTCCTTGCATTATCCTTAAACTAATGACAAGTTAAGCATAAATTAATTAATTAATTACACTCTCATAAATTAATTAATTAATTACACTCTCATCTGAGAATCAGCATTGGATTGGCTTTGTAGGGTCGATTGAAAGTCCAAATTCTCAATGTGTCGAGAGGGCTTACTGTCTATTGAGTAGTCCAAATATCCATAACAACAACCTAAATGCTATTTGAGAAAATTAGAGTAATAATCCTTGAACTTTGACCTAATTGAAACTTAGTATTTGAACTAAAAATTTGCTGAGTATTGATTCCTAAACTTGTTATAATGTGAAGCAATAGTTCTTTTGCCTAACTCCTTTCAAACTTTCATGAAAAGTAAAGAGTTGAAAGGGGCAAAAAATAGATAGAAGTTAGCCAAAACGACTATTGATCCACATTATTACTAGTTCAGGACCATTACTCACAAATTTTTAGTTCAAAGACCAAAACTCCAATTGAGCAAAAGTTGAAGAACCATTTCTCAATTATCTTGGCTACACAGTTTTTATCTGATTCTTCATAAATTCCATATAGGACATTAATATTCACCAATCAATTTTTTTTTCTCTCTTCTACTTTAATTGATATGTTAATTATGTTTAATCTGAAAGCTGAATTGGGTAGATAGTTAATTTGATTCTGATGGATCACTGAGAAAAGTTTGAATTGTGGAAATTAAAGTCGTTTTCCTGTCAGTGGTTTACTTTGTTCATCTGAATTCTTAAGACTAAAAAAATGCAATATAGATTTTATTTATTAAAAAAAGGGCACTTGAATTTTGTGTATTTTGAAGCTTATGTTGTGTTAATAGGTTCAAGTACTGAAGCAAAAGCTAAATTTAGAGGGGAAACTACCATGCATCTGTATTGCTGTCCCTTGGGTTCGCGCAGAGCTGGATTCTGGATTTGTCGCCGAGAAAGGAAGCAACTTTTCGATGCTATCTTGTAGAAAGAGAAAAACAGAAAAACCCGATTAGTTTTTAGGAGTTCAATTTGATTCGCATTCATATATACTGCATACTCTGATTGATCAAATTGGTTAAAAAACCCGATTCTTGACGCCATGCCTGTGGTTCAGATTTGTATAATGCTTGCAAGGCTTCCTTTTCTAGTGATGGTAAAGTTCGTGCAATCTTAGGTTGGAGGGTTGCTACATGTTTTTGGTCTTTACACATTTTGGTTATCATGAACTTAGAAACTTAGATTGGTACTTTGCTTAGTGTATGTCTATTGGTTTAACTGTCTTGAGCAAGCTTCTTTACGGCGTATTACATGCGAAATCATATGATTGGC